GGCCATTTTTTGGTTGCAGCCGTCATTGTTGTTTGGCGGGCCCGAGCCGGGGATTTGAACCCGCCACCTTAGGTGTATGTGGCTGGCGCCTCAGCCGCTTGAGCCACAGGCGCCGAGCCCCCTTATTTCTTTTTTAAAAACATGATTTTCATTGGGAGAGTTGCGGCAGGTGGTGAACAGGGTGTGGAAATGCTTTTCTATTCACAGAATAGAAGTAGATGTGTGTAAGGACAAGCAGAGAGTTTACATTTGAATCTGGGACTCTTAAATTGAGTCTATGTCAAGCCTGGAAGCTAGAAATGTGTAGTTAGTACAAGTGAGCATCATTTCATCCTGAGCGGTCAAACATATGAACCCCCAGGCACAGCCATGTGGTCTGAGGCACAGCCCTCAGTCCCAGTCTCCTCATAACATAAAATGGACATGACACCCCCAGCACCCTTTGCTTGGAATTGTGAGATGCAAATGAGATAACATTCCTAAGTTATTTCCTTTTGCTTTTAGGCACTTAAAAGTTGGGAATACAATAAATTCATTTCATTAGATACTATGCTTGGTAGAAAGGCAAACATTTTTTGGTTTTTTTTTTTTGAGACAGAGTCTTATTATGCCACCCTTGGTAGAGTGCCATGGGGTCACAGCTCACAGCAACCTCTAACTCTTGGGTGTAAGAGACTCTCTTGCCTCAGCCTCCCAAGTAGCTGGGACTACAAGTGCCCCGTCACACGCCCAGCTATTTTTTGTTGCAGTTGTCATTGTTGTTTAGCTGGCTCAGGCTGGGCTGGAACCCGCCAGCCTCGGTGCATGTGACTGGTACTGTAACCACTGTGCTACAGGTGCCAAGCCAGAAAGGCAAACTTTTTTAAGTCAGAATAGCCAAACTAAGAGTCTCAGACTGTCCTATTTTCCCTTCCTCACAAAGGGGTAAAATGCTTGCTCTTCATGCACTTCAAGATGGTGGCCGCTCTCTGGCTCTAGCCTCCTTAACTAGAAAGGTCGGCAGTACTGGCCCTATGCTTAATTTGGAGATGGAGATGATTAATGTGGACAGATCACAAATTGGGTCTGAGCTCCATCAAAGGATGGACAGATAAAAAATTTGTGCCACATACACACAATGGAATATTATTCAGTCATAGAAAAGAATGAAATTGGGTTATCTGTGTCATCAAGGATGGAAATGGAGGTCATTATGTTCAGTGAACTAAGGCAGGCACAAAAAGACAAATATCACATGTTCTTGCTCATATGTGGAGCTAACAAAGGGTGCCTCCTGGAGGTAGAGAGAAGGGTGGCTACCAGAGTCTAGGAAGGAAAGTGGGAGTAAAGAGAATGTGGTTAAGGGGTACAACAGTACAGTTAGACAGAAAAAATAAGTTCTAGAATTTGCTAGTACAGCAGGGAAATCACAGGTGGCAACAATTTCTTCTGTACTTCAAAATAGCTACAAGTGAAGAACTGTAATTTTCTCAACACAAATGTTTGAGATGACAAGATATCTCAATTTCCCTGATTTGATCATTACACACTGTATACAGGTATAAGATATAACACGCACTCCCCAAATATGTACAACTATTATATGTCAGTAAAAAGATAAACACAAAAACAAAACCAAAAAAATAAACCAAGCCTGGGAAGGCCTCAATGTATAAAAGGATTAAAAGTCTTAAAATGAATTAAATCTAGGCTCAGCGCCCGTAGCTCAGTGCTTAGGGTGCCAGCCACATACACTGGGGCTGGTGGGTTTGAACCCAGCCCCAGACTGCTAAACAAACAAACAAACAAACAAACAACAACAACAAAAAATAGCCAGGTATTGTGGCAGGCACCTATACTCCCAGCTACAAGGGAGACTGAGGCAAGAGTTTGAAGTTGCTGTAAGCTATGACGCCAAGGTACTCTACCAAGGGTGACACAGAGAGACTCTTATCTCAAAATAAATAAATACATAAATAAATGAAATAAATTAAAATAAAATAAATCTAACCAGCATTTAGAGAGAAAGGAAAATTAGTGACAACTTTAAGTTTTTCAATTCCCACCACAGAGTAAACTTTCTTACTTGAGTGCTGGAAGTTTTTCTTTTAATTCTTCTGAGGTAATTTCTTCTAGCAGGAAAAGCTTTGAAGTAAATGCGTCAATATGCCCTAAAATAAAATATCAAACTTAAGAACAAGCAGTTGCAATATTTAGAAAATAAAAATACCCAAGAAATTAATCTCCTTAAAGGTGTTTGTGGAGAAATATACATTTTATTAAGTCTATTAAGTAAAGCTATATTTTAAAATGACATAAAAATTTAGATTATAAAATGAACATGTATTCATTCTAAAATATTTGGTGAATGTAGAAAAGTTCACACATGTCCACATACACAAAATCATTTCAAAGCTTACAATCTATGAATACAACTGTTCAAATGTGGGTGCTTCTAATTCCTATTAAAGTTACATTTTTACAGAGTTTTCTTAGAGATCCATGTACCTATTATCAAAGCAAACAGAGAGAGTCAAATGTATACTCTGGGCCTGTTCAATATGTCTCTAAAACACACTTGGTTCTTCAGATAAAAATCAGATTATAAAAATACGACTTATTATTTTTTAAAGTACACCATATGATTTCCCATGGTTTAAAAAAATAAAAAAAAACTAATCTCCTCAGCCCTACTTTCTTACAAACATGACATGAATCTAGAATTCCAAAAAACAAAACCATAACTTCTCAAGATGATGCTTCTATTTTTAAAAGTAACATGTATGTTCTAAGACAGAACAGGCTGAGACAACGCCACAGTGCTGAAATGTACCAAGGAAGAGTGATAAAAGACAGTCCCGGGTCGAATGTCATTTGACGCAGTCAGTATGGAACCAAGTCATCACGCCACAGTTAGAAACGTCAATTCAGGTTCAATGCTCAAATAACCCATTTTGTTTTTATTTTTTCAACTCCCTGTATTAGCTACCAAAACAAATTACTGGAAAGTTGATGCCAATCCCTGGGACAACAAAAATTTAGATAATTGAATATCTCATTTTCACATCTCGCCCCCTTTCATTTCATTAGCTTTACGTGCTCATGCAAAGAAGTTAATTGAAAACATTGCTACCTGAAGCCTTCCTTTTAAGACAACAAATCCACTCGTTCCCACACCTACCTGCTATTTCGTATGCCAACTTTTAGTTTCGCCTCTGCACTCTCTATACACAACACTCACTACACAGGGACATTACTGATAATAGAGACACATTTTGATGATTTAAAAATCATAGGAAGAGAATATTAAGTACAAAAAATATTTTTAGAGATTTATTACATATGCCTTTGAGGAGATTTGCTAATAGTTCTTACCTTTTTTAAAGAAATAATATGAAAAGTATGTCTTATAGTGTATGTCAAATATGGTCTGTCAAGGATAACTACCCAGAGAATCCCCTACTCTGGGCTTGGAGGCCCTAATTCCTCAAGGAGCTTACAACTCTCAACTGGAGAGTTTCAACTGGAGCTTTCTAAACTGTGGGCCTCAAACGAGTTATCTATGTGCTTCAGAGATTCATTCCCAGAACAACAAGCACCACATGTACCTGCTATTTTTTTTTTTTTTTTTTTTTTTGAGACAGAGCCTCAAACTATCCCCCTGGGTAGAGTGCTATGGCATCACAGCTCACAGCAACCTCCAACTCCTAGGCTCAAGCAAGTCTCCTGCCTCAGCCTCCCAGGTAGCTGGGACCACAGGCGCCCGCCACAACACCTGGCTATTTTTTGGTTGCAGCCCTCACTGTTATTTGGCGGGCCAGGCTGGATTCAAACTGCCTGCCACCTTAGGTGTATGTGGCTGGCGCCTTAGCCGCTTGAGCCACAGGCGCTGAGCCTGTACTTGCTATTAAACTGCAACAGACCCGTGAGCTCACGTGTGCACAGAGGAGAGTAATCCTGCAGTGGAAATCGAGCAGGGGATGGGCAAAACCTACCTAGGGGGTATAATGAACACTATTTGGGTGATGGGCACTCAAGCATTACAGAAGTGATCCACGTAATCAAAAACATTTTAACCCGTTTAGCATTTTGAAACAAAAAAATTAAATTAACTAGTTAATGAAAAAGAGAGAGAGAGATTGATTCCTCTCTTCGGCCCTTGGGGCAGCTAAGCAGTGCTTGGGATGGAAAAGCTTCCCAGCCATCGCCCTTCAGCCATGAGCAATCTCTTCTGTGTGTCACAGCAGACTGTCAAGTATTTGTTAACGATGGAAAGCAGTTTCATATATTAACAGTAGAGATAGAACCTTTACATACATGCACACATTCACACACATATACATGTATAAATACATACTCATGCATACGTAGGTACATTCCTATGTGTACAGGCAGTCAGGCCTTGCTTTCCATGCAGTGTGGGACCATAAAAATGATCATATAGGTTGAAACACTGAAATCAATTTTAATAGTCACTGGGAAAATTAATAATTGTTTAATTACCTTTACATTTTTTGTCAAAGCATTACACTACATAAATTCTCCATCAATTATAAATGTATAGATATAAAAATGAAAAATGAAAAAAATTATAAATGTATAGATATAAAAATGAAAAGAATGCTTATTCTACACACCAGTGGTTCTCAACCTGTGGGTCACGACCCCTTTGTAACAATGAAAATACATCCTGCATATCAGATATTTACATTACGATTCATAACAGTAGCAAAATTACAGTTATGAAGTGGCAATGAAAATAATTTTATGGTTGGGGTCACCACAATGTGAGGAACTCTATTAAAGGGTCGCGGCATTAGGAAGGTTGAGAACCACTGCTATACACTGTAATTCAAAACATTAAAATCACTGAGAATGAAAGTGTTTTATTTCTGGAGTGGTTTGAATAGTGCTTGTTGCCTTTTTATACAACTGACGATAGGAAGCCAGCATCTTTTCTATGCTGTGAACTGTCACACTCCTTTCTAAGTTAAAATCAGCTTCCAACATAGAATCCTTTGTGCTTTCAATGTCATGAAATATCTTCAGGAGTTCTTTCAATGTAAAATCCTATGCCAGTGTCACCACTTCATCCTCTATGTCACAACCACTTTCCTCATTTATGTCACAAAGTTCACCTTCAGTAAATTCATCTGGCAGCAAATCTAGAGTCTCAAATGGCAGCTGTGTCAACATTCCCTCTAGTTCCTTCTATAATTCCATTTATGTTTGATTCAAATTTTGCTTGAAGTCATACCACTTTTTGTTTCTTTGCTTCTATATATCTTGGCCAGTTCCCTCTTTTAATTATCCACATTGGTAAAATATCACTTGGGTTTATCGCTGGGCAACGTGGGGGCAACGTAACCGCACACCTTGCTTTGTTGGTGCATGAGCTCAGTAACAGGTGCACAGTGACCAGTCAGAACAGACTCTGAAAGCAGCAACATGACCAGTCACTGATTTTGTTGTGTCTTCTTATTTATGCAGTTATTTGTGAACTGAAAAGTCACCAGTGAAGTCTACACTTTAATTAATTACTCACTGATGTAATGTAATGTAATATAATGTAATGATTTAATGTAATAATTAAAATTTTGGCTTATCAGAACTATGCAAATTGAAGACTGTCTGTAGGTCAACTATGTAGATCTGATCAGGATTTGGGTAGACACAGAGTGGTGATGACACTTCTCAGGAAATATTCTTAAAGGAGTAAATCTTAATATTTTTATGCGGCAAAAAGATAAAGAGTACTGCAATGCAAGGAAACAGGGTAATTAATGTTTCAGTGAGATAAAGCTAACAGAGAAAAAACCAAGTGCATTTATTCTACCTGAAAAGGAAACCACCAGCTATAGAAGTGGTTCGCTAAGTGTGACCCCTGGACTAGCAACATCAGCACTGCCTGAGAACATCGGAGAAACAGAAAGTCTTAGGTCCTCATCTAGACCTGCTGAATTAGACACTCCAGGCTTGGGCCATCATCTCCACTTTAACGAACCTTTCAAGTGATTTTCTTGAACGGTCTCATTTTTTAAACTAAAAGCATACACTCCAAAACTCGCAGATGCTTTAAAATACCATTTTAAAACATACTGCTCCCCTCACATACCCATAGCCAAGACAAAACCTAACAAAAACAAAAACCCACAGCCATACAATAATACATATTTTTCACCAAACAGTTGTTATAGAAAGCAAATACACCATCCCAGTGCATTAAAATGAATGGCTCATAGGCAGACAGGATGTGGAGGATAACCAGCACACAGGGCAATGATTACTTAGGACTTTTAAGACTACCTTACATAAAGTAATCCATACAGTTGATGGCAGTTTTATCTGTCGAGCTGTTTTTTAAAAAACCTCAAACTTTAAATGTTTTTGCCATGAATCTCCATTCTTTAAAAAGAATTTCACTGGTTAAGTTTTTGTTTGGTCCTTTCCTAAAATGTAGGTGGCTGGCGATCACTTTCAGGTAACTTACATTAAGGTTGTTGGAGTGAGATCTTTGGGCGAACACTGGTTAGACCAAACACTAAAACAACAAACACCCAGCACATGTACAAAGGGTGAAGAGGGAGTGTACCACCAAGTGGTACAGGTCGCCACTTCCTTTCTGGGGTGAGCAGAGAGAGTGAATCTATTATCTCATTGATACCATCATAAAACATGGAAAAGAACTGATTAACCAAAATTGGAAAAAAAAGTTATGTGAATAACCTTTTCTTAAGCAATAAAAACCACACTTACCACATTTATTACATATAAGGAATTACGCTAAGCACTATGAGAATACAACAAGTTTTATCAGAATCTGACCGTCAGCTGTATATTGTCCAACAGGAAGGAAGTGTATTAAGTATGAATGTCCACCTTCCTTAGGTACTAAGTGGGACAGCTGATGTCTCCGACCATTCACTTTGACGCTTCTTGTTTTATTTTTACTGTGAAGGTACACCCTCAGTGTTGCAAGGGCATGTTCTGGCTTGTGATTATCTTTCAAATTTTGTTTTAGAGTGATTTTTGTGAAACCACAGATCAGTCAAACATTTGTGTTATTTTCTGAATATGAGCTCCATTAAGGAACCAACATAGCAGAGACGGCGCCTGGAAGGATGTGGCTAGTGATGCACAGTACATCCATGGTTGGACAAGTTCTGCTCTGAAGATTTCAATCTTGAAAATGAGCCCTGCAGGCGACCTGAGACCAAGGTGAATAATGATGAGCTGAAAGCTCTAGTGGAAGTGAACCCATCTCAACCTACATGTGAATTAGCAGCAAGGTCTGACATCCTGTGTTTTGGTTTTGTTTAGCAGGCTCTGGCCAGGTTGGAACCCGCCACCCCTGGTGCACAGAGCCGGCGCTCTAACCATTGAGCCACAGCGCCCAGCCTAAGGTTTGACATTCTTATTTCAACAATATTGGACCAAATCCTTGAGGTAAAGAAGCTGGACAGATGGTTCAGTATGAATTAAATGAGTGTCAGAAAAAATCATGTCTCAAAACTTGTCTTTCTTTGCTGTCAAGACATAAAGGTAAAACATTTCTACACTGTATCATTATGTGTGATGAAAAATGGATTCTTTTTGACAATTGCAGATGTTCAGTAAAATGGCTAGATAAAAAGATGAAGTGCTGAAACATAGTCCCAAACCAAATATTTATCAAAAAAAGCTACTGGGGTCTGTCTGATGGTGCAGCACTGGTATTATCCATTATGGCTTCATGAAACCTGGTCCACTGATTACAGTGGATGTCTACTGCAGCCAGCTAGATGAAATGATGAGGATGCCTGGAATTAAGCAGCAGAGACTGGTCAATAGAGACTGGGGCAATGCCGTTATAAAACAATACTCAACCGCATCCTACAAATAATGCTGCTCAAACTATAGGAGCTGGACTTGGAAATCCTCTGTCATCCACTGCATTCATGAGACCTTGCACAACTGACTACCACTTCCTCCATTCTTCGGACCACTTCTAACGAGAAAAAATATTCAATTCTCAGCAAACTGTGGAAAAAGCCTTTCGCAATTTCACTTCCACTCGCTCTCCAGGCTCTTCGACTGCTAGCATAAACACGCTACATTGTTAAGATGGCACAAGTGTGTCAACAGTATAGGCGTGTACTTTGATTACTCGTACTGCCTTTTTTTTTTTCCAGACAGAGTCTCACTTTGTCACCCTTGGTAGAGTGCTATAGTATCACAGCTCACAGCAACCTCAAACCCTTGGGCTAACGTGATTCTTTTGCCTCAGTCTAGGGTGGGCTAGGACTATCGGCACCCACCACAATGCCTGGCTATTTTTAGAGATGAGGTCTTGCTCTGGTTTAGGCTAGTCTCAAACTCGTGAGCTCAGGCAATCCACCTGCTGTGGCCTCCCAGATTAGGACTACAGGTGTGATGAGCCACCATACCCAGCCTAATCGTACTGCTTCTTGCTTGAGATATAATAAGCTAAACTTTTGACTCAAAAATTGGATATTTCACGTTTAATGACCTAATAGAAAGTAACAAGTCATAAGAGAAGTATAACACAATGCACTGAGAGACCAACGGAGGGAAGAGACGGGCATGAAAGGGCAGTCTGAGATGGTTAGGCTAGATTCAGAGGGATGGATGAATCGAGATGTTTGGGATTAAGCATTCTAGTGGGAGGAAATAATACCAAGAATGATTAGCAAATAATTTATCATTTGAAGTATAACTGTACATGAACTCGGCCAATGTAAATTAAATCCCTTAAGTCTTGTCTCTCCCAAACAAAACAAATAATAAAAAATCATTTCATCCCCCCTTCTCCCTTCCTTCCTTCTCCCTAGCCCCCTCCCCATGGAAAAAAAATAATTTCATCAAGATAGTATTAGAGATTCAAAAAACAATGTCTTAATTTTAAGAAAATTTCAAAATATATGTATAAGTCAAACAATAAATCAAATAGTACTTCTTAAAGGAGCTTGTTAGAAAAATATATGTATTTTTATTTAATTATACTGTTAAATAGATACTTTAAAAATAGAAATAGTATGATGACATCCTTGTACAGCTAAAGAGAAACATACAGTTATCACTAACTCCATCTCACTATTTCATTTTGGAGGACGAATGGGGATTTAATAGAAAAGAATGTTAACACAATCAGAAAGTTGCAAACAAAGAAGTACAGAATGAAAGTAGTTACAAATTAACTTTAAAGTATGTGCTTATAAAGAAATTAAAAAGAAGAACAAAGCTTGTATAACTTACCGACATAAAAGGAACAGTTGGAATGCAACAAACTTTCAGTCCATAAGCAACAAAGTTCACTTTCAGTCAGAGCTTCAACTCCGTAACAAGCTTGATACTCCACTTTTGGCAGTACATAAACTGGAACTTGCTGCAGTGCAAGATGATACTTTTTCAAAGCTCCATTGATTCACTATTAATAGCAAATACATTTGCCTATATAGCTTTGCCACTTTCGAAATGCTTTCTGGTAATCTTATTTCCTGCTTTCGCTTAGGGTAGGACAGAATCAGGGTCCCATTTGAGCCCGATATGACGCTTCATAGGTGCAGGTGAGAGGTGAATGGATAAAAGAAAAAGATCCCTCCTTGGTACTCCTGTCCCCAGCATACTTCCCCACATATGCAACATTTTATTTCTGTGGGATAACGTGACTAACAGTAGGATCCTTAGAAAAGAGCCTATGGTACATAATTGCCCAAACGTTCAAAGCTAGATGCTGGGAAGCCATGACTGTAATATATACTATTCTCAATAGAAAAGAAAAGGTGAATCTTTTGCTCCTTTAAAGAACTGATAATACTATCTCAGGTACAAACACTCCAAGCAGCTTGTTGTCATTTCATAAATGAATGAGCATTAATACCTAATACTAATACCTATAGATGTCATTATCATCAACATAAAGGTTTTATTTCAGACACAAAGTGACAAATTATCCATTCAGACTTTACTGGTCAGGACCAGTATTTACTACAAAAATTATGTAAAATGACTGTACCTGTTACTGGTCTAAGAGAATATGCAAAGAAATACATGTCTGTGAAATATGATGGTGGTCCTGCTCACTGTCCACGCTACCTCATATCTGGCAAAGAAAATTCTGCTCCTAAAGTCTGTTTCCAGCTGCAGAAATACTTTAAGGTACTTACTCAAAGTGATACGGCTAGTTAGTATTTCTAAAATTATACTAAGGTGTTACTATTTACAGATTTGAAAGTACTTCATTTATGTTTCTGAATTATGGATTTCTACAACGTGGCAAACTTAGTGGGCTTGGTACAATGGTGGTGGTAAGAGCGAGTCGAATTCAGTAAAATTTCTGTTATCAACAATGACTATATTTTATACGATCACCTTTGGATTCAGTAAAACTTTAAAAGGTGCTTCATAAATTTCAATGGGTACACGAATAACCCGGTGATTTTGTTAAAACGTAGGATTTGGGGTGGAACCTAAGGTTTTGCATTGCTTATAAGCTTTTGCTCCAGGGACCGTACTTTCCAACAGTAAGGCCCCTAACTTGTCTTCTCAATAAAAAAACCAAAAATTAAATTGTGATTAGGATGATTTGATTGTTAAAAGCATTTCATTACATAATAATTCTTCAGCAAATGGTAACCTGCATATGATTTAGTCTCTTATAACCTTAGAGCAAAAAGGAGCTAAAGAAATGAGGCTCGGAAAGTTAAACTTCCTCTAGGATACACAGCTGGATTATGGCAGAGCTGGGGAAAAAATACTTGGTAAAAAAAAAAAAAAATCCCTTCACTGGGATCAGAAATGGGTAAGAGAGTTAATTAAAAAAATACATATAGTTTCTGAAAAGGAAATACTTTGGGAGATTCTCTTTGATAATACTTCCATAATCTCGTTTTAATTTCTATATGTATTCTACTGCCACCTCCAGGAAGCCAGGGGGAAAAAGGCCTGAATATTTTATCTTTCCTTAGAATTCCAAAATTGAAACTTTTAAGTACAAAGTTTTCATACTATAAAAATGACATTTTCTATTTCCTTTTCCCTTGACAAGTGGCTCCTTTTCTCCCCAGTGAATGCTTTTCTTAGTTCTGTCTTCCAATTTTTCACATAAACCTTTTAAACTTCTACATATATTCTTAAATAAATATTTTACAGCTAGTATCCTCTCCTCAACCTGTTTAGGTATCTTTTATTCCTCCTAACATTTGCCACCGTCAGGATCTCTTTTTATAGCCCTAGAATGCCAATATAAAGTTTAAAATAACTGGATTTAAATTCTTTGAACATTTTGGAATACAGCCCTGAGGATATTTTGTTAATTGAAACAGATGATAACAAATAATATCAAATCATCTACAGTTACGTGGTCTGGATTTCATAATTATATGTAGAACTCAGTAAATTCCAGCTGTGTCTTGTGGCCCAGATTTGCCTGTTCATTTCACCCCATTATTTGAGACTGCTGCTGTTTTTCAGTTCTCCTGTGCAGAGCAGCTTAAGCAAAGTCTTGATAAGGAAGGGTACACGATCCTGGAAACTAAGATCTCAACTATGATAACACAGAATTGAAGAACAAGGAAAAACAAAAGAGAGACGAGGTTGTTGGACATCAGAGGTTCCAGAGACTTGTTAGGATTTTAAAGCTCTATCTGAACAAGTTTGTTTTTAGGTAGGAAATATTAATGAAGATATATATTCAGACCTAATTAAATAGTACCACATTAAAAATTTTCAAACTAGTGCCTCAACCTCTCTAAAGAGGTTGCTAGGCTCAGCGCCTGTGGCTCAAGTGGCTAAGACGCCAGCCACATACACTTAAGGTGGCGGGTTCGAATCCAGGGAGGGCCCGCCAAAAAACAACAATGATGGCTGCAACCAAAAAATAGCCAGGCGTTGTGGCGGGCGCCTGTGGTCCCAGCTACTTGGGAGGCTGAGGCAGGAGACTTGCTTGAGCCCAGGAGTTGGAGGTTGCTGTGAGCTATGATGCCACAGCACTCTACCCATGGGGACAGCTTGAGGCTCTATCTCAAAAAAAAAAAAAAAAAAAAAGAGGTTGCTAAATATTCCTGAATGATATCCTCTTTACCTCTCCATTTTCTCATTTTTTCAATACCTATTTATTGAATTTCTATGGTACAAAACATACAGAGATGAATAGGACATGGTTCCAAGGGGCACACTGTCTACTAAGGGATCTAAGCCATGAATGCTAAACTATTACGTATAATACAATAAGATAAATGCTCACAGAAAATTTTGAAATTTTACTCTGAATACGATGCAATCAGAAATACAAGACTTCTATGTGGATATTCTTTAAGGTTCAATTGTTTTGATGTATTTTAATGAAGAATGAATTCTCTCCTATAAAGTTATGTCTTAACATTGACAAATTTCACTTTAGTCAAGTGAATGGCAATGTCTTTACCTATTTGTCTTATTGAAGAATTAAATCAGGGCTCAGCACCCATAGCTCAGTGGTTAGTGCACCAGCCACATACACTGGGGCTGGCTGGTTTGAACCTGGCCTGGGCTTGCTAAAAACAACAATGACAACTACAACAACAACAACAAAAATAGACAGGTGTTGTAGTGGGTGCCTGTAGTGCCAGCTACTTGGGAGGCTGAGGCAAGACAATAGCTTAAACCCAAGAATTTGAGGTTGCTGTGAGCTGTGTGACACCATCGCACTACCAAGGATGACATAGTGAGACTCTGTCTCCAAAAAAAAAAAAAAAAACCAAGGAATTAAATCAGTATCAAAATTTACCTAGGCTATTCTTTCTCTCTTTTTTTTTTTTTTTTTTTTGAGATAGAGTCTCACTTTGTCACCCTTGGTAGAGTGCCGAGGCATCATAGCTCACAGTAACCACAAACTCTTGGGTTCAAGTGATCCTCTTGCCTCAGCCTCCCTAGTAGCTGGGACTACATCTGGATATTTTTAAAGACAAGGTCTTTCTCTGGCTCAGACTGGTCTCAAACCTGTGAGCTCAGGCAATCCCCCACCTCAACCTCCCAAGTGCTGGTATGAGCACTGCACCCAGCTCTGCCTAGGCTATTCTTAACAGGCACTGCCCATCAAAAATTTCTAAGTGGTGGATGGTGCCTATGGATCAGTGAGGAGGGCACCAGCCCCATATACTGAGGGTGACGAGTTTGAACCTGGTCCTGGCCAAACTGCAACAACAACAACAAAATAGCTGGGCATTGTGGCAGGCGCCTGTAGTCCCAGCTACTCAGGAGGCTGAAGGGAGAGAATCCCCTAAGCCCAAGAGCTGGAGGTTGATGTGAGCTGTGACACCACAGCACTCCACTAAGGGTGACAAAGTGAGACTCTGTCCCTAAAAAATAAAAAAAAAATTTCTAAGGGGTACAAGCTGAAAGAAATACAAAGTGGAAAGGGTTCACTGGGTAGAAAGTGAAAGAAATGAGGTTAGCCCCAAAATTAATCAGAGAGAGAGAGAGAGAGAAAAGAATTAAAGAAATAAACCTTGAAGATACCATCCACAGCACTGACACTATGTATTCAAGATGCTTAAGCTTATGATCTTTGAATTTATCACAGTTAAATATAGATGAGGCAGGGAAGAAACTGGCAGATAAAGTGAACTCTAAATTCAGAGAATATTAGCATTTATCTAGAGGAGACTAGTATCAAACTTATACTGTCATTCCTTGATTTTCTCTTGTAAAAAGCACTACTCTTACATGAAATTCAAAACCATTTGGTTTCTAACATTTCAAGCCTAAGTCCATAGTAAAAACTAAATTATGAGAATTAGAAATTTAATAACATAGGAATTTAATAATTCATTCACAATCTTCCTTCTACTTAACAAATGATAAAAATATTATCAAGACCAAGTCCATGGATTTGACAAAGTGTACACCCTAGATCTGATGGGCTAGCCTTAGAGTTGGCTGGGGCAGTCAAACTTTTACACTGCTGTTATCAGCAGTATGGAACGGCTCCCACCACTTTCCCTTTTAAATTTGTTTTCAGCTATTCTGTGATATGAGATGGTAGTCGCACAGTATTCCAAAGGATCAGTCCTGGAACACTACTATTCAGGATTCATCTAATCCCTATCCCCAGACACAATGACATTCTGAAGGGGTCAGTGATGATTCTGATTGGACAGTGGGTTATATACTAAAAAACAGAGATACCAAAACTTAAAAAGAAAAGTATACCAAGACAAATAGAAAAAAATTCCCTTAAAAACTTAAAGGAAAAACATTATAATATTTGTTATACAATCAATTATAATACAGAAGCTTCTCTTTATTTACCAGAATTCAGTATTTATTCACAGAAAAATTCAAATGAATCTGAAAGGGAACCTCAAATATCAAACATGAAAAGAGGATACATAAAAGTAATTCCTCAAACTGCAATACATAATTCCTTCCTCTGAGGAAAATACTTACACCAAAATCAAAAGGAAAAAACAGGGCGAAAAGAAAGGAGATACAGTCATCTAACATTCTCCAAAAGACTAATGTTTGGGAAAGCCTATTTTCCAAAACTTAGACTTCTAAAGTGAGTTATGAAAGACCCAAATTTAGAGAGAAAAGGGCTCACACGTCCTAATGGAAAGCTAAAGCCACAGAGAAAACAGGAATATATGGGCTTATCCAGGTCAAACTGATAGACATTTTTCATAAACTTTACATAGGATGAATACCCCTTATCCAAAAAGCTTGGGACCCAAAGTGTTTCAGATTTGGGATTTTTTCAGATTTTGGAATATTTACAAATTCATTTATGTTTCATATATACCTTATACACACATAACCTTAGGATAATTTTACATAGTATTTTTAATCATTTTATGTGTGAAACAAAGTTTTTGACAGGTACTTTTCTGGAAATTGGCTTTAAGAGCTCATCCTGCATTTTTAAAATCTCTCCAACTGGATCAAATTTCTTATATACTCGTTTGATAGGTTTTTTTAAAACACAGGATTGTGACTGTCACATGTGGTCAGGTTGAAACTTTCATAGTGTCACATCCGCATTTAAAATGTTTTAGATTTTGGAGCATTTTGGATTTCAGATTTTTGAATTGGGGCTATTCAATCCATACGTTCTATGAAAGAATATTACTGACATTTATGACTATGACATATAATTAAGCATTTTCCCTTACTAAAATTGACTTCAGTATTTTAGTGAAAAGACATACCCTGTAAACACTACTCTAAGAGTGATCCGCAATTAACAGTTAAACTCCACAGCAATGGCATGTTAACTATTCGCTAATTGTCTACTTATGCTACCATATCTTAACTCCCCAAATAGCAACTTACTCTTCTGATCTTCTTCCGTTTTTTAGAACGTGGTCTTGTCTCTATCCTCTGGAGACTGCAACGCACGAGTAACAACAGGTCTTGAAGGCTAAATAACTTATAAACAAAATTTCCTTCCTGGGGAGCCGTATATTCCGATGTATCTTCAACATAGTCCTGAAGTTCATATGGCAAACCTTTAAAAATAATGTTTCTCATTTTTATTTTAAAATACATTAGCTCTTTACCCACCATAATGCAGAATAAAACCATTCCATTAACTATTTTGAAACTTCTATCCATGTTAACTTTCTACTTCCTCTGCATAATTTTTTCTTAATTAAATGATAGCTGTGTACATTAATGCAATCATGGGGTACAGTGTGGTGTTTTCATATACAATTTGAAATATTTTCATCAAACTGGTTAACATAGCCTTCATGTCATTTTCTTAGTTATTGTGTTAAGACGTTAATATTCTAATATTCTACTTTGAGAAAGATTCACTTGTACCCTTTCCTCTGTATACTTAATGCTCACACTATTGCCATTTCTGTTTAAATTGCAGGGAAGAGCTGAAATCCAAGCTTTAAATTTCTCTTCCTTTTAAGTATTACCTCCACTAACTCTAGGTAAAGTATAAATTAATACAATAGCATATCATGTGAGAAGGAAAAAAAAAGTTTTAAAAAAGTAATCTAGGCAGAGCTGAGGAACAGATTTATATTTCACAAAATTAAAATGTACAGAACTGCAAACACCAAATATAAATACATCCTAGAAGGACTGATGTTTATAGTTGTTTTTGATACATTCACTCCTTACCAGTTTGGTGAGCTAACTTATATTACATTATAGCTTAGTAGCCACTATACTGCTCATTAACCTTTAGGTACATATCTAAAGAGAATGGTTTAGAAGCTGAAATACTGCACAGTAGGTTGATAAGTGAAATATCAGTGACTATGCAGACAACGCAAAACAGGTTATAACAAAGAGTAAGTGAAGGAATGGGGGGGCGGGGTAATCTAAGGAAATGTAACAGATACAACGGTATAAGTTCTTTATCAACATTTACTTACGTCCTTTTGGCTTCTGAAATGTGGAAGGCCATCTGGAGGCATCTAAAGGAGCAGAGAATTGCTCAGAAACAGAGGGGTGTTTAGAATTTTCTAAGTTCATTAAGGGCAATTCAGGTACTTTTCTGGAAATTGGCTTTAAGAGCTCATCCTGCATTTTTAAAATCTCTCCAACTGGATCAAATTTTTTATATACTCGTTTGATAGGTTTTTTTAAAACACATGACTCTTCTGGACTACAAGCAGTATTAGCCTGGTTTCCTACAGATGCCTGTCCTGAGGAAGAATTTGGGCTAGCTGTTCTAGACCTTAAATCAGAATCCACAGCAGGCGTCTTCCCATTACTATTATTTTTACAGTCTGTATCTATGACTAAACAGTCCTCGTCTGTATCGCTACTGGAAAGAAGCGCATCTTCAGATGTAGCTGCTGCTGATGCAACAGTTTTTTCCTTTGAGTTACGTGCGTTGCCTACAACATTTAGCCTCCCATCATTGGTACGTTCCACATCTACAGACATAGCATTTTTATTAGAAGTTTCAGTTTCCTTAGAACTTTTTAACTGTAAGGCTTCAGATGTAGTCAAGTCTCTATCTTGCATCAATGGCTTGCCAGAATTTGAAACCTTTTCACCACTTGGTTCAAATTCCTGACCATCTTTGTTTCTGCTCTCGTCAGGGCGACCAGTCTTGCCAGTGACCAGTTGTTTCTCCTTTTGCAATTGTGCCATCAGCATCTGAGATAAACTTCTAGAATTAGCACAAATGTCTGATGCACTTGGTGCCACAGGTACAGCTGCTGCTTTAGGGGCTGGGGGAGGATCAGTCACGCTGGGTACCGTGGAGGTACTTGTTGGACTTGGTGACTTTGACGGTTTGGTCGTGGTTTCTCCAAAAGTTTCCAGTTCTGTGACATCATCATTGAAATCCAGATCCACATTTTCCAGAGTCTCAATTTTTCGGCACTCATTAACTTCAAAGGATGTCTTAAGAAAATATATTGGTAAATAATTATCAAAATTTCAAGCCACCCTTCCCTATCTCTTAACATACTTATCCCTCTCATACATAGTTCAGGCTTTTTAAAAGTAGAAAGAAAAGCCTAATGGCTCTAAAATGTCCTTGCTTAAGAAGATAATAAACTACTAGCAACTATTTAAACTTGCCTTCCTTCCCATTAAAATGTTCTCAGAAACAGACATACTTTCCAAGTTGTAACAGCACAGGAAATGGAATACTTCATACTTATGAAGTACCATATCCTAAGAGGAGTTTCGCTTGTCGGGCCAAACAGGAAGGCAGCAGGTTTGCCTATTCTGTACATTCTTGCAGGGACACCATGACCTAGCTGAGAAGGAAGCCCCTTGCTGCCACTGTGAGGAAGCTGCTTTCTAACGTAGCCAGAGAAATGTCACCAGCCTCGGTGCATCCGTAACATCAGTCAGCGACCTCCTTTCCACATCTACTCAGGGAAAATGACTTTTAGTAACATAAGATGGGGCAGAAATGGACAGGAAGTTTATTGTATTCTGGGATATGAAGTCATTAAGGTTGTAGTTTTTCACTTACTACTTTAATAATGAAAGAACTACACACAGCTTTAATTTACTTAGAAATAAATTGTCCCCTGTACAAGCAGACAAACAGGCTCCAGGAGCTCTCTCCTCAATTGAGCACAGCACTTGAGACAAGTAACATGGAAATCCAGTTATGGGTTATGTATACCCATACAACTAGATTTGAGAGAAAGCTTCTAATAGCAGTCAGGTATTGAGTAAGAAAGATCAACCTATGTAAGTTACTTAACCTCTATGAACCTCAATTTCCTCATCTCTGAAATAGGTGTAATAGGGTCAGCTTCTTGGATTTGTTCTAAAGGTTAAATGAGAAATTATACCTAGAAAGTCTCTTGGCATAGAGCCTGGCACTCCTTGTAAACGGTAGCTCCTACTAAAAATAAAGACTACAAAATTTAACTATATACTGCTTAAATGAGGCATTCCTATACAAAAAGATTAAAAACAAAACAACTAGCGACACCACCAAGAAACAAAAAGAGGAAGTATAGCCATATGTGTATTAGACAAAGCAGAATTCAGTACAAAAAGTATTAGACAGAAAAAGGAGGAATACTATGTTAATAAGTAACAAAATTTACAGTGAATAGACAACAGTCATGAATGAGATATCCCAAATAACTATATCAAAATATATAGTCAAACTAAAAAATAAAAGCAAAATTTCACAGAAACATAATTGTACTTGGTCAATGAGAGAATAAATAGGAACAGAGAAAGTATGAATAATATTAACTAAATGATGGAAATTATTATACATATACGAAATATATATATTGAAAGCATATATGTAGGCTCGGCGCCTATAGCTCAACCGGCTAAGGTGCCAGCCACGTACACCTAAGGTGGCGGGTTCGAATCCCCAGCCCGGACCCGCCAAACAACAATGACGGCTGCAACC